CTGAAAATTTGAATACTTCCTGGATATTTGATAATATTAAGGAATTATTATTTTTAAGGTACAATAACGGTATTGTGGTTATGTTAAAAGAGTCCTTGTCTTTTAGCTGTATATTGAACATTTTACAGATAAAATGTGATATCTGAATTGGCTTCAAAATAATTGGGGAAGGAGGAAGATATGGACATGGATGGGGCCAGCTTGATCACGGGTTGATGGTTGTTAGGGCTGGGTGATGAGTACCTAGAGATTCATTATACTATTCTGTCTACTTCTGTGTAGGTATTAAATTCTCCATAGTAAAAAGTTTAAAAATTTAAAAATAAGTAAACATAACAAAGAAAAACTAAAATGTACCTAATTATCATGAATCTAGTGATCATATTATCCAAATTTAAAAATCTGGATACTTAGGCTAAAGAATATTTGAATAACCCTAGAAATTATAAGATATATGCTTCCAAATAATTACGATACTCTGAATTCTGAATATGAAGACAGAGGCAACTCATACAGACAAGAGGAAGAAGAGTTAGAAGGTACAGTTCCCTTTTCTCTGGCAGAGGGTTTGCCACTGGTACACTGTCTTTGGCCTCTTCCTCCTACCTTTTGTCAACTAACTTTTAAAATATTTGTTGAACATTTATCATATGTAAGACACTGGGCTTGAGTAAAACATAGTACTGTGCCCTTAAGAAGCTTACAATTGCATAGATAACCCCTCCCACTGGAGTTCTCAGACCCGAACATTTCCACCCACTTCCCATTGCCACATTCCAACCTTCCTGTCTTATTTTACTCCAAAAGTACCTGTTTTTCTCTCCCTAACTCACAATAAGAACTTCCTAGCATTTTCCCACTTCGGCTTGCCTTAGGTAATTCTTAAAAGGAAAAAAAAAATTTTTTTTAATCAGGTTAAATAAGCTTCTACAATTATAAATAAATAAAATAAAATAATCCTGACAGTGACTAGCAAGCTAGGCCTGCCGTGGGGTCAGCCCCAGGAGTTAGATCTAACTTGTCACAGCTTCTTCCCTCCTTCCCCCACTGAATCCACATATTCCCTAACTGCTTCGAGTTTTACCATCCCTGCCTCAACCCCACAACCACAGTAGCTGTGGGCACTCGAGTTCTATATCAGTGACAGGATCTTACCTTAGGTCATGAAAAAGTCACTAATGGCATAGTTAAAATATTTCTGATGTGCCTGAATTTTTATAAACTTGATTTATATATAATTAGTGAAGATAATTCCATATTCTGTATCGTGAGCTAATGTGAAAAGCAGCAGGGTTAATCATCCATGGAACACAATCATACCTGCATGGTTCTTCGTTTCGTTAAGGTTACTTGAAAATTTTTCCACTCCCAACGCTGCTCCACCACGTGTGCAAAAACAACATGCCCATTTCCACAGGCTCCAGCGATCTGAGTGCCATCAATTGACCATGCAATGTTAAATATGCTGCCAGTGTTGGGCTTTTCTAAAGCATATGACCACTGGAGAAGAAAGAATGACAGAAAAATTGATATACTGAAAAAAAGTTTTAAAGAAATTTTAAATTGAGCATACATTAACATTTTAAGATGATTTTTTAAAAGAATGTGTCTTTATCCTAGAATTAATATTTTTCATAATAAAATGATTGTGTACTGAACAGAAGAAGATACAGATGTAATTTTTAAAGTACACAGTAGAATACGATAGAAGTGTATAAAATCTCTCAAGCACTGCAAAACACCCACACCATTTCCATTCACATCATTATATTTAAGTAATAATACTGAATGGGTAAATACAAAGATTCTATAGAAGAAGAAAAAAAAAGACACTTTACTATTAATTCTTAAGGTCTCTATAGTCCCTACATCTAAAAGGATGGAATTTTGGTTATAATATTTGGAATATTGGTTATAATATTCCAATAATGTCACTAAAAATTGAAACTAAACACACAATATAACTAAGACATACCTGATAGACATTTTAAATCATGAAAGCATAGGTTAATGGATATTTTCTTCTTGTTTCTTTCTCATAATGTAGTAAATGTAACTTCTAGAGTTTACCTTTTTGAGAAAGTTATCTAATCAATAAGCATCAACTGGGACAAAAGAGACTGTGTGTGTGTGTGCATGTGTGTGTGTGTGTGTGTGTGAATAAGACAGTAAGAAAAAGCCTTTTAAAAGATGCTATTACATGCATTTTCTTTCATTTTTCAGATGCAACATATATATTTGCTAAAAGGATGACTTATTTGACTAAATTGATACACATTCTCTTTCCATTCTTCCAACCTTAAAAAGCCTAAAGTCAAATTAAGTCTTGATTTTTTTGTTGTTGATTTTTTGGTTGCTCTTGGGTGGGTATTTATTTTGTTGCACATTATTGTTGTTTCAAATGTGTTCATTGTTAGCCATGGGCTCACTGACAAAAAAAGTGGAGAAAATGGAAAAAATACAGAAAAAGATTCATTAATTCACACTACTATCAAAAAGACTTTAAATTCTCAATAAAGTTCATATATACAATAAAAATGCTGAATGACTCTTACCACTCACTGACACTTTTTTTCAACTCCCTTCCACCATCCTTTAAACCTCTACCTGTTGCTCAAGTAAAAGGCCTATAGGGTGCCTGCGTGGCTCAGTTGGTTAAGCATCTGCCTTCAGCTAGGTCATGATCCTGGGGTCCCAGAACTGAGTCCCATGTCGGGCTCCCTGTTCAGCAGGGAGTCTGCTTCTCCCTCAGACCCTCACCCCCTCATGCTCTCTCTCTCTCAAATAAATAAATAAAATCTTAAAAAAAAAAATAAAAGGCCTATAAAAAAAAGTTATCAAGAAGGAGGTAATGAACAAACTTCCGCTTCATCAGCAGCATGAAAATGTTAGAAACTTTCTTTTCTGAAATTAAGAAAAGCAAGTTCAAAAAAAGAATATATATGAGTTGAAGTCATCTTTTTAAAAATAAGTGAAGACAAAGAACATCAAGGATATAAACAATGTGCTTCTGGCAATAAAATGAAATTAACTCATTTGTGTTTGACAGAATTATGAAATACTGCATGACTACTATTTTACATAAAAATTAAGTGGTTGGTATAGGCAAATGAGACTTGATTGTTAATATACAATACTTAACAGATTGTACTAGGCTTACGGCACATCTGTCATTCTAAATCTAGTCTATTCTCATGGTGTAGATCCAACAGAGATCTTATTTTAAAACCACAGATTCACATTTTAAAACTATTTACTTTTTTTTTGAGAGAGAGAGTGGGTGTGAGAGCAGGGAGTGAGGGTGGCAGAGAGGGGCAGAGAGAGGAAAGAATCTTAAGCAGGCTCTATGTGTGGAGCTTGACACAGGAGTCGATCTCACGATCCTGAGATCATGACCTGAGCCAAAATCAAGAATTGGATGCTTAACTGACTGAGCCACCCAGGTGCCCCTTAAATCTATTTGCTTTAAAGTATGATCTTAAAATACCCAAAGAACCAAATCAGCGAGAAAGACACACCTTACTAAAATTAAACATAGAAAAATGTATCTAAGAACTCTTGGATGCCTAACCCTAGCTAAGAGGAGAAACTGGAAAGAAATGTTTAGATAATACTATCATCACCCTATATTTCTCTGATTTCTTTCAGAGTCTGTAAGATTCATCAAAAATGAAGTCTGCAACATGCAACTTATCCCTAAAAACAAACTTCAAAGAATATAACAGTACCATGATATTAAAGTTATATTAAATTTGTATATTTTTATTTAAAATTAAGAAGTGATTTCTTTTAGATGACTAGTTTCAAAAAAAAAAAATACAAGCACAAGCAAATCATCAGAGAATGGGTCTTTAATAGTTATGAAATTTGGGGTGGGGTTAGGAGATAAGGTTATTTTGTCCAGTCAGTAAATTTATTAATTATTGGTAAGTCAAAAAGATCTATTTATCATCTGTGCTTTAAACAGACTTTTAGGGGCACCTGGGTGGCTCAGTTAGTTAAGCATCATTAAGTGTCCTACTCTTGATTTCAGCTCGGGTCATGGTCTCAGGATCATCAGATTGAGCCCCCCATCAGTCTCCACACTCAGCAGGGAGTCTGCTTGAGACTCTCTCTCTCTCCTTCTCCCTCTGACCCACCCCCACTGCTGTGCTCTCTCAAACAAATAAATAAATCTTTAAAAGTAAATAAAGAGATTTTTAACACTCTAAGTCTCTTCTCTTCCTCTAATATGCCATGGAATATTCACGTTTGTATTTCAAACTCTAGAAAGAAATGAGGCAGCCTCCCAAGATGTAATTTAGTGATACTAGTAGTAAGATGAAGATGAATTTTTAAAGATCCCTCTCATTTAACACTTACTCTTGCTTTAACCCAACTATCCCTTACTTTAGGATATGCCCAGGCCAGCAGCATCTATACTGCCTGTGATCTTGTTAGAAATGCAAATTAATGGGCCCAACTCCACCTTATAGAACCTGCTCCTCTGGGGATACAAGGCCCAGGAAACTTTTTTAATTTTTATTTTTTTTTAAAGATTTTATTTATTTATTTGAGAGAGAATGAGAGAGAGCACATGAGAGGGGGGAGGGTCAGAGGGAGAAGCAGACTCCCT